GGTCCCCAAAAGTTCGAGTTAACGAGTTTTCACTGTATTTGAATGAAGATATAATTGAAAGTCTTCTGCAAAAATGTTTTGAATTATACTTCCTAAAGAGAGAGAGAGAGAAAAAAAAAAGGCAAACTACTCAAGCTCGTTCACAAAGCAAGTTCATAGAACCATTTTTCTCCGATTCTGCTTAAAATATTACTTGGCGGATTTTTCCCGCGCTTTTCTAAACTTAGAAGTTTTTCTTCTTATTTTTTGAGTACATCAGGGTTTCAAGGAGTTTGCGGTTTGAATGAATCCCGGCAGCATTGAACAGGCCTATGATAAAATATATACAGGGTATATATATATTTTTTTACCGGTATCGAACAACTTTCGAAGACCATAAAAGGCATTCCCCAAAATTTAGCGATTCCAGCAGGTTCTGCCGCGTTCGTGAATTCGGCGGGACGAAAGAGTGGGAGCAAGGGACTCACCTTGACCGGTCGGAGCCTCGGAATGAGCAGGCACGCGGAAGTGCGATAAGGGCGGAAATAGGCCGGAGCGACGGGGGTTCATCCATAAGCATGGCGTGGAGGGGAGAGCGGGGGAGAATGGGGACTCGGAGACGCCGTTCGAGTGCGTTTCGTGCGTTTTTTTCCCTTCTCCATTTCGCTTATTTTGTGCGGAGAGCGGGCCCATTCTGGGTCCCCCACGGCGAAGCTGCCGGTTGGAATTGATTGGGCCTGAATGGATTAATACACCATCACCACTGCTATTCAGGCGGCTTATTTTTGTGTGTCCTAATTTCACCGGGTCATATTGGTCTGCACGAGAGGCATATAGCACTATGCAAAGCAAACCACGTTGTCAGAGCGACGTACTAAACACTGGATATCGGCAACACGAAAGCAGGATGCATGAACGGCCCAACACGCTACCTATTCGAACGACAGTGAAAGCGAAGTTACGGAATACCTTCCGCTAGGTGTCACGTTGTCAAGAGCTAATTCAACATGGCGTCGCCCTGGCGCTGATACTTTTCCCCACCCGGTCCTTTGCTTTCCGTTCATCAGACCCCTGCTAGGAATTAGCTAGTCATGGGAGGAACTCCAAGCAAACGCACCATTACTGCCGTCAACGATGAGCACGCAAACGTGATACGGGTGAGTAAAGTGCAGCTTCGGCTAAGGTTAGAAATTGACATTTTAGGTTTAACATTAGTCTGGTATTCGTGAATAATTAGACCTGTCTGACAGTGACGATGGTTCTGTGTGATCGTAGGTTGCTGATTCAGTGTATCATCGTATCAGGCATCGTGCAATTGATGTCGCTCAGGAAGAGAAGACTCAGGCGCCAGCCACACCACCACCAGCACCACCTAGGCCCCAACCTGCAGTAGAAGCCGTGGAACCAGCTCGAAAAGGTTCAGGAATTGATTGACTTTGTTAGAATTGTGACAATTTATAGGGGGCTGAGTGGAACCTGGCCTTTGATATGGTACATTAGTATAAAACTATTTTGATATTGGTGAGTGCATGTTCTGATTGCTGCTGAACTCTCCTCCTCCTCTCATGTCTTTCTTCTCAAAATTCAGAAATTTTTTGCAATGAGATAAGGCCTCATGTTTCATCAATTGTTTCAGAGCCTGAAAAACCAACCCAGGTCTTCCTACCGGAAAATTGGGGGAAAGCAGAAGCCTTTCGTGACACTAGTAATGTCCCATTCCCACCAGAGGCAAGTCTGGCACTCATGCGGCTCAAACTCGAACAGGAAGCTGAGCTCACAAAGCTGCAGGACTTGTATGAGGAGCGACTGGAAAAACTCAGATATGAGGTAAGACCATCAAAGCCTAATGTGTTTTTCCAATGATCATGAAAAAATATTGACTATTGGACTGGGTTGTCAGACTTGCTTTTACTGGATCTCCTTTCTTGGGAAAAAGGGACCACTTACAGGAGAAGTCTCATCATGTCTCTTAGCGCATATGTCTATCACATTTCCCATCCTCAGTAACTGATAGTCAATTGTGTTGCTTTTGTCTTGTTGAAAATTAGTATATAAACAAATGGGTGAGATACTGGCTGAGTTACACTTTTGTGAACTACAATTCAAAAGAAAACATTTTCTCATTAATTTTAAGTTCACCTGGTTATTTCAATGGAGCATTTGACGATATGAACTCTGGGGTGTTCCTCCTATTTCTAATAGTTATCAGGGTGTACACACGAGAACTATTTCTGCCAGGTATTCTGGCAGCATTAATACTCATTCTAAAAAGGTTTGCCATGGTAGGCGTGTGAAAATAATGATTGAACAGTTTCTTAAGAGAATGTGCATCAGTGATGCACACTCTTTTAAATGAGCATGCATTTCCCAAATGCCCTTTGAAAATTATCTGATGTTTCTGCTTGCTCAAGTACTTCAACACAGTGAGGGCTGTATTAGGAAAAATGACCAGGATTTGGTGGTATAAGTGTTAATATCTTAGATTAGGAGCAATGAATATCTCTTTAATAGAGTGGTAGCCATTGAGTCCATTCACTATTCAGTCATAAATTTTGGGTATTTTTTAATATGCAGTTTGAGAGCAATACGCTGCTGAATGAAGATGAATTCAACAAAACAGCTCAAGAGACAAGGGGGCTTTTCTCAGATGCTTTACCATCAGTGTGCCAGGAAGAGCAGAAGAAGGTCCTTGACTGTTACAAGGCCAATTCTACTAAATCCCTGTATTGTGCTGGAGCTGTAGAGGACTTCTTGCAATGCATTGCTCAGCACAGGCTAGTAAGTCACAATTAAGCTAGTCATTCTTTTGAAATGATTTTTTTTTCCAGGGCTATAGCCAAGGGCAACAACCATAATGATAACCTATTTTGGACTCTTGAAAGCTTATTGTTTTGGAAGAGGAGAGATGCTGTTATGCTTCAAGCTGCTGGTATTTGGAATCACCATTACTTTGAAAATAGTTTAACAAGTGCCTTGAACAAAGTGCTACAGGCTTTTCCCTTTTTCTTCCTCTCATCTTTTATTCCATCTACAGGTGATTCTCACCTATTTGCTAACTGACAGTTAATCTATTATGGAAGAATCCCCATTTTCAGATTCTGTTAATTGTAAATTAGCCATCAATTTTATTCCTTAAAACAATTTGGCTCAAGCCCCTGATTTCCCTTACGGGAAACTAAATGTACAGAGTGGCCCAAAAAAAAAACCCAGCTTTGGCACTTAGTAGAAGAAAACATTAAGGTTGAACTATCAGCTTTTTGTAATGAATTAAAGCAAACTCTTTTTTGATGTAAGAGGTGTTCACTGGTTTTCATGGCATTGGTCCACCATGCCCTGTGGTATTACTGTCCAAGTCCTCAAGATCTCTGCTCTTGGGTGGCAGAATCTTGCAACTAATGCTGGTGGATCTTTTCTATCTTTGGTGCATTTTTCTTTTTTTGACTTCCTCTTCAATCCTTTGGACTGGGCCTTCCACTGTCTCATTAGCTTTCCAAATATTAACTTCAAGATCATGGCTTATTTAGCTGGGAAATTCTTTGCATTTTCTGGCTTCTCAACTTGTGAAGAATTGACCACACCAAGCCTTTGCACAAGTAGTTCTGCATTGTTTTATATTGCACAAAATATTGAGGGGGGGGGGGGGGGTTAAAGGAAGGAACACCTTGCAAAACATTCATTTACAAAGCATTATGTGTTTTACTAACAAAACTGTTATTGCTACAGCTTAACCATTTCAGACCTGAATTAAGGCCACTCAGAGTAATATCCTTTTTGCATTTTTGAACTCTTGCATTGTAATTTAAATTTTTGTGTTTTATATATCGCTCTTATATTTTGTATAAGTTTACCATATCATACCATATATATAATACATATAATTAGATTACTGAAGATTACAAAACTGATGGGTGAGAGAAGGGCTCTGATGGAATTGCGCCATGTATAAATGCACCCATTAAAGTGTAATATGGGGCACAAAGTCACAAGAATCCCAAGAAATTACCATAGACACAATGAAAACACAATGTCCATTGGAATGGATGCCAGGTCTGCAAGGGTTAAGCAGTTTTCTTAATGGATACAGACATTTTGTTCATGGTGTTTGTGGAAATTTTTGAAATCATGAATTGTGAACATGAGTCTGCTGAACAATAGATGTTTGATGTATCAAAGCTCACACAAATCAAGGTGCTGTAGCCAGATTGACAGCATTAAGTCAAGAGCTTTGTCTTTTTGAGCCACCCTGTAGCTTGAAAAAACCTAGGCATATAAACACAGTGTAGATGCAGTGTAGATGTATTTGGAATTGGTTTCCATGCCTTCATTGCATTGTTCCTGTCAATTATAATTTTGTTGGCCTATTCATTATAGCTACCACACCATCAACCCTCTGCTTTATCCCCCTCCTAGATTCATCCTTCTTGCAATACAGGAAATATTCCAGTGCTAGACACCTTGCTCAATTCTTGTTTAATAACATTTCTGCACAATGTGCTCATGGAGACCATTTTATCTTTTTCCCAGGCATCTCCTTCATAGGACCAGTGAATGTGAGAGCATAGAACAGGTCTACCTTCAAGAGTGCAGTAACAAGAATGTGATTTACTTCCCACATGTAGATTTATTTGCTTTGAATAAAAAAATGTAAAGCAAAATTTCACTAGTGTTTTTCCTATTCTCAATGATGGGGATTTATTGACACTTTCCTCTAGAAATAACTACACCCAGAGACAGATCACAAGAAACAGGTATGCACATCTTGTGCATTTTGAAGGTCCACAACCTTGATCAAAGCCCTTCACGTTCTCGAGGGGGGTTCCGTTTGGAAAACTTCCTGCCAGGCCTAAAAATAGAGTCACATACACATAAATCATGATGGCTGTTGAAGGAAACACATGCAGCATCTCAAGACACCATTCCTACAGAATCACAGACTACTCAGTCATCTGTATGGTGCAGAGACAATGACTGCAGACTTCCACCTAACCTTCATTTGCTAAAGTTCTGACTGAAAACAACCTATGGGCAACTATTATGGGAAAGTATTTTGAGAAAACCTACATCATAACAATGCAGCAGTCATATGTATTACTGCGCTTGCTTAAAAAGCCACAACCAAAAATTTCATTCTTTCAGTCCTGGGGATTTGAATGTGCTATGGCTTACACCTGCCATATGATGGGTACGAGACTGTAAGTGTTAATAGAACTTGAGGTGCATCCTCTTAGCATATCTTCCAACAATTGGTGAACCTACCGAGGATACCAGATGTGCTTGTTGGTGTGGGTGAGTTTCATGAGCTCTGGAATTGCAACATAATCCAACTTAGGTCTTCGTATGTAAGACAGGTCCTCTTTCAATTTCACCTTCAACACCTCATCAGTATCAGCAGCCTCTCTCTTGGGCATTGGCTTCAAAAGTCACAACAGAAGCAGAACAATAAGACATGATAGAACACTCATTTGACAGGAATGTGAAGAATATTAAAAAAAAAAAGGATGTTATTTTGGGGGTGATTAAGTGAGTTAAGGCAAAAGTCAGAAGCTTAAAACTCTCAGATGAAGTCCATCTCTGCTAATACTTCCATTTTGATGTTTCAATGCCGTTTCTTTTGACAGACAATGTGTGACTTACTAGAGAGCATTCATAAGGAAAGGGAGATTCAGGATGCCAGCAAGCAATGCAAGATCCATCCTCTGGCAGCACTATCCAGTCCCTTCGACCTCGGATAGTTCCATCATCGGAAATGGCTCTCCGGAATGGAACTGAAGAGAGAACATTTATTTGAACAGACACTAGAATGTTTCAGTACATCTGATACTTGCTAGCAAAAGAATGTGCTCTGTTCACTTACCAAAACACGTGTATTGCACCATCACTGGCCGAAGACTGAGGATCTTCTGGAGTGCCATTTCTCTGCTTGTCTGAGAGGAATCTTCAACAATTGATAAAAGCTTTTTACATGACACATTCATCACACTCATACTGGGAACTTTAGAAAAATAAATATACATGGGCCTAAGTCAACTTAGCGTGAAAAGTTTTTGGCTAATGTGATTGCCAGGTAGCATTGCAAACAAGCTACCCACTTGAGCATAAAAAAAAGCAAGTCCATCAAATAAGGGCCATTATAAAAAGGTACTTGTAAAAATTTTTTCTTTAAAAAAAAAGCAAAACACAAAGAAATATTCAAATGTGAGCACACAAAAAGGCTTTCATTCTATGACTAGCTCACTGTATTAATCACCACAGTTTCACAATATATTGCACATTTTTCCAGAATTAAACACTCCAAAACTAGATCTATCATGCTAAAAGAACAGTGCAGAGATAATTTTTTCTTTGTACCAGCTTGCAGATCAATCCATCTATGTAACACAACCAACTGGGCCTTGGAAACTTTGGGAAATCTTTGAAGAACATTTCTAACTAGCACAGATTTGATTGACATAAGGTTTATAATTATTGAGCATATGAAATCTTTCAGAAGGCTTTGTGGCAAGGTAAGTCTTCTGTTCCTCTGAGTACCGTTCCTGAACTGGGATGACATCACGGTACCTCCAGTCCCGCCAGTGCCAGTTGAAAAGCTCAAGAAGCCTGATGCGATCCTCCTGATTGGGTATTACATCATCTGGAACTTTCCGTTTCAGATCAGGACACAACATGGGGAAAATTATGATTGCCCGTAATGCAAACCATCCCCCATAGCGGGGATGAATACAGACTCCAGATACTTTTTTCAGAGGGTCCCAAGGATCATCCAGGATGTCACAACGCTGATAATAACGGACTGCACCAGAGACATGACCAGCAGTCTGAACCAGGACACGGGGACGGCGAGTTGGAGTCAGCTGAAAGTCTTGAATAATCTCCACTTCAATATCAAGTTCAGAGGTCACATGGTGGAGATTCTGCCTTGTTGACTCATCAATGGGATCCTTGAGGTGTGAGGGATAGTTTCCATGTTCTTTCAAGCTTTTGAAAATGAAGGGCTTCACACTTTTCTCAAACATGTCAGGCTTACTGATGACAACAGCACATAATGTGTCATCAACATAAGGAAGCTTGAAGGGATTGCCAACTGCAGCATTATACCACCCCATCAGAAATGGGTGCACCTCCATTCCATACAAGTTCAACTTTTCATTTAGTAAAGTCATCAGATCTTGAATGCCTTGTTGAGACATCTGCCAAAGGAGAAAAGTAAAGGTGAACTCTGAGTCTGGTTAACACATGACAACATACAAAAAATTAGAGTTGTTTAAATTCTCTCCTGAGGATGACAGTTCGCAAAACCTGTCCTACAGTGAGGAGGATATTAGTGAAATGTGACACCCCTTTCTCTGCTGTTACTAGTAATGTGCACTGTACAATTACATGTTAATTTTGGAGGAATTGCTCATGTGGACACTAACGTACCCAGTTTTGAAAGTTTAACATCAGCATAAGCATACATCATATTTTTAAAAAGGAGTTGCTGAATTGACAAAAAATTTGGCCTGAGCTGGCTGGCATAATTGGAATGTAAATTCATAAGATGCTGATGTATATTAATTGAGGCAGCATTGAAAAACTAAACAATTTCAAAATATTAAAAAAGTTCCCAATATTAAGAAACAACAAAATAATGTCTGATTCATTTCTGACTCAACAGTCTCATCATTGATGATGAGTTTGAAGCGGCACAGGATGAGGGTATGATGATTTACATCAATTTCATAGCTCTACTATCCATGCTACTGTTGTGGTATGTTTGCCAATTGATTTAGCATAGTTGAATTCATGAGAATTCATGGGAAAAAAAAACCTGAACTTTGGCATATTCTTCAAAAAGCTAAATTCAATGTCAAATCTAAATATAACCAGCAAAGAAATGGCTATACTTGTTTAGACTTTTCAGAAGATGTTTATTTTATTGGGGAGTCTTTTAGGTAAGGGTTCCATAGACTTTGGTCACTGTCATCTGTATGTTTTTGTATGGAAAACAACAGAATCACAGATTTAAAAAACTTCTAAAGCCGTTTCTGAATATATAAGTGTCAGATGTCATCCAAGCAATGGACATGCTTCTCTTCAATATATATAGATATTTCCAAATGAAGACAAAAATATGAGTAAGAAAAAATGCCTCAATTTCAATTCTTTCAGGATATGATTACGTCACTACTCAGCCCTTTGCAGTCTTATGTCAGACCCTGTCTGACATTGCAAAAATCCCTTTCTGGTCCTACGTCGAACGCTGTCCAATATCGCTTACACCTTTATGCTTTTAACCCTTTCACTTTCTTTTTTGTAGACAGAATTTTTTACCCCAGTGGCAGGTTTTTTCAGTGTGAATATTTGACATTTTTATGGTCACACCTTCGGCTCTCAATTATTTAGGATAGTGATTAATTCATCAATTCATTTTCAAAGTGCAAAAACTTACTTAGAGTACATTCCTGTCTAAATATGAACCATCAGGGAAAGAAACCGAGATTTTTATCAAAATCATTCCTCCGATGATTTCTTGTGTGCCTAACAGCAAATATGTTTATATGACCTTTTTGTCAGAGCAGAAAAAAAACCTGAAATATTTCCTTTCCATTATCCACCCTGAGAGGACATATTTAGAAGTAGGATTTCTTCATTACTCAGCTATCCATCAGGTACTTCTGTGCCAAGTTTCAACTTTCTACCTCTCTGTTTCATTTGTCCTTTTTTGCTGGTGAAAAAATATATTTGGAAAAGGTGACCCACCTAAAAGCTATGCCCTGAGGAGATGCACCACAAAAGCTGAATTTTTCTTGAACTGAATATCATGTCAGTTATGTGTGTGCCAAGTTTCAACAATATATTTCTGCACAATTTGCTAGGACAAAAAAATTTTTTTTGAAAACACCTCCCCCAAAATGTGTGCCTCCAGGGCATGTACCTCCCAAGTCAGATTTTTTTTTTTAAATTACCACGAAGTAAAGAATTACAGATGAAAACTTCCTTATTTGTTCATTGTTTTATAATAAGGTTCCTTTAGATTAGCTTGAGTGATGATGAAACATTTTTAGTTAAATTTAAACAGCTTGTGTTATTCTTATTTTTCCATCAAAATAAATTGAACATAAGGAGCCAGCCAGCTTCTGAATAAATAGACTGCAAAGGGTTAATACTTCAAGCATTAAGTCTAGTTTACAAAACAGACATCACCGATCGAAGCAATTCCCAGGTAGCAAACTATCCATACACTTCATTGCTCAGTCAGAAGCATAACCATGTTCCCCCATACTGGGGGCAGGATGTCACAGTGCCATGACACCAGGGTATTAATTACTCACAGAAGCATAAAAAATTTAGTTCAAGATCTATTCTTTCACTTTACCACAAGATGGCAACAAAAACAACTTTATTTAGGCATTACAATTCATATGTATAAATAAAGTATATATAATTCTTTTTTATTTCAAGTAACTTCCAGCAAAAACCAAAGGAAATGCGAAAATATTTATCTCCATCACAAGAAGAGAATGAATTTGCAAATGGATTGTGGTAAGGGGAGCTTCTCAATGTACTGCTGAAAATGAGGAACACCATGGGTCTGAGCCAAATGAAGCCTGACTGCCATTCGACTTGAATGCTTCAGACTCCATGGCACACTTCGCATTCCTTTGAAACTGGTAGGATGAAGGGGTAGATTTCGAGACATACTGCTGGGAATGTGAAAAACATAGGAGAGAATGACTTCCTTACATTCTGTTGTGATCACAGATTCATGTACAGGTAAAGTCACTATTTCCTTGAATGGGATAGGGTGATCAGTGGAATGGGAATTTATGATTTCAGCAACTCCTATTTCAAACAGTGATTGTAGAGCCCATGGGATCAAGGGGAAATAAATTATTGGACCAACACCCTCCCGGGAGGAGATTTCCTTCATCAGTTCAATCACAAGTGGCTTTGTTTCAGCTTCATGGGGAAATCTTTCCATTTCATACAGCCCTCGACATAAGAGGGAGGCAGTTCCCTCCACACCCTCCCAGTGTCCATACAGGAATCCATCCAAGGCCACAAACTTTTCAATGCAGAGCTTGGTCTGTTCCACCCCACAATAATCCACAAAGACCATGAGTTCAGAACAGAAATGTCCCAGAGGAGAAAGAAGACCATGGGAAGATCCTGCAAATCTATGTCCAACATCGTCTTCCTGACACTGACGCAGGTCATACACCATATTTTCAAGGTATACAGGGAAGGCACCAAGGAAGATCTCCAGAAGGTCACTTCGATGCTTGTCAATAATGTCTAGCAAAATACAAGTGTACCTGCAGAATATGGGGGCTTCTTCTTCCATTTGAGATGGGCCTTTGCCAGGTTCCAATCGAATGAGTCCTCTTGTCAAGAATTCTTGCTTGGTCCCTCCTAATATCATTTGAAAGATCCTGTCACACTGAGGCCGTGGATTGATGCAATAGAAGAGAGGGAAGATATCATCTGAGTCTGTGAGATTAACATCGGCACCAATTGACAGCAGGAACTCCACAGTCTCAACATGTCCATGCTGACATGCCATCATCAAAGGGGTTGCCTCATACTGAGCCCTGCAGTCAATATCACATGAATCTCTGATGCCTCTTTCATGAAGAAGCCTCAGTACAGGCAAATTCCCTGTCAATGCAGCACAGAAGAATGGGGTCATCTGTCTGTCATTTTGAGCCCTTATGCTTGCCCCATGATCTATAAGGATTTCTGCACATGTGCAAATTTCTACATGAGAATGGCTGTTTGACACATCTTCTTCAAGGAGTGTGAGGAGAGGAGTGTCCCTGTCGAAGTTCATTCTATTTACTTCAATTGATGGGCATTCTAGCAATGTCTTCAGGCATTCCTTGTTACATGCTCGTGCTGCAGCATGAAGTGGGGTGGATTCTTCATTGTTTCCCTGGTTTACTGAGGCACCATGTTCTAGAAGAAGGGAAACCATCTTGACTGAATTTTTTTGGGCCTGACAAGCCAAGAAGAGAGGAGTCTCTCCCTCATGAGTCTGCCAATTCACATCTGCCCCCTTCCAGAGCAAAAGTTCAGCACAGTTGATGTTCCCAGCTGCTGCAGCTTCATGTAGAGGCTGCCAACCTCGATTGTCTTGTTGATCTACCCTCCCACCTGAATTCATCAATCTCTTGATGGCATTCTCATCTCCAATTCTGGCTGCCTGGCTCATGTGGCACACCATATCTGGATAGGTCACTTCAAAATCCATGCTTGACCTTGAACTATACAGAAGTCAGGGTCAATAAAGAAAGGACTTGAGATCACCTGTTCATCAAATACACTTATTTGACCCTAAACAGTTAGGCATTTTTACTACCTGCCATATCTCTTAGCACTCAAATTAAATAAGGAGGATCCATTGCCTAGGAACAGGATCAGCACAGCAATATTACTCTTGCCTATTGCATTGAATTATTTATGTACATTATATCAATGTTATGGTATAGTATATATAAAATATAGGTAAAAACTTTTTTTTGCTGATGTGCAGACTATGATGGACATCCATGTTGCTTATGTTTCACAGATGTGTAATTATGTTAATAATCTGTATTTATTTATTCATAATATTATGAAGAAAGTTTCCACTGAACTCAATCAATGGACTTTTCATCAGAATTTTTAAAATAACATTATTGATTCAAATTAGCATAAATGGATAATTACTCTTTGCATGTAGATAATTAATTTTATCAACATGAAGTGATGTAGCACTTTAATTTTGAACTACATATCACCTAACTTAAGCCTATCATATAACAACTACAAGAAAGCATATTGACAGGGAATTTTTTTAAACAAAAATTAAATGTGTGAATCTCATAAATTCATGTCTTCTTAATACTACTTCAAAAGAAAATAATAATAATAATAATAATAACTTTAAACATAATGTTTCTTCAACAACTTTGGGAAATTACAGACTTGTATCTAATGCCATTAGAAAAGAATTTTCAATTACATGTAGTATCATCAAATGATTAAATGAATCTGATTTTTTAAAAAAAGGAGTAAAGGTCAGTTATGGAACTTTTTGAAGGAAAGTAATAATAATGCAGCCAATATTCATTAGTAGTTGGAAGATTTCTGTGGCTCTAACAAGCATAGAATGGGTAAGAAATTGAATGACAGTAATTTGTTCCTCTTTTACAGGTTAGTCGTATTTAAAACTAATGACTAAATAAAAGAATGGAAATTCACATAGACTTCAATAACATATAATAAAAGCAAACAAGGCTGTTTCTGGAAAAATTTGAGGATCAGTGCTGCAAAGATGAATACTTTTGGAATGTACTTTCCCTAGAGTACCATTCTTTAATAAGCTTGACATACAGTACTACATATTACTGGAACAGCAAGGGCTCTTTGTTTTCATGCATGAATACGAACAGTTCAGGCTAACCTGGCAGCCAGCAACTGCTGTTTCATCCATTTTTAAGATTTACAGCTGCCTTAAAACATTAAGGTATACATAATAGGACAAAATGACAACCAAGCACAGAGCTTCAAGCAATTATTCATGGAGATAAAGTGCTTGAATTCATTAATGGACATTGGATTTTGAGGCACCAACTCATTTTTGAAGTTGGTGAAAAAAAAAAACATTTTATACTGCTTTCACCATTTTGAATACTAGTTGGTAATTTTGGCTGCCACTGGTCTCAGTCAAAAAAATGCTTATAACAGCACTTCACTCAAGGATGATCTTGGTTTGCTGAGTACATGGATTCTAGATGGGGTTCCAATAAAATTTTTCCTTAAGCAATAACCAGGTGTACAATCAAAAGAATATAAATTAGGTTTGTCAGGTGGCCAAATTCCAGGTTTCCTTCAGTCTTTGGTCTTCTCTAGCCATCATTTCCTTTTCTGCTACATAACGCCTGATCTAATATTTCTCTGGCAAATATCTTTCATTAATACCAATCAAATATTATAGAACATGGCCATCAAAAATCCCTCTTAATTATATAGCTTCAGAATAAGAAACTTTAGAGGAAGATCATGAAGGTTGCCCAAGAATCTGATGCTATGCCTGATGACTATAGACAAGGCTATTCATCATAACTGATTACTTTTAAGAAATGCAAAAACTTGACATTTGCCTTTATTGCCTAAATCCAATTAAAATGCTGCCAGCAAAAATACAAAATCACATCATGAGAACTTTAACGAAAGACTTTTTTGTTTAACCTTTTAGGGATAGTTACTATAGACTTTCATCCTAGTTCTTTACTTGGTTCTATGATGGGTTCAGCACTTTAAAATGGGTGTGATATTAAGCAACTGCACATGAAATAATGAATTTCCAGTCAATTTCCAACTGACTAAGATGTTGATATTACATTGCAGCCTTGAAATACTTCTCATACAGAAATGGTGAAATAAAATGTAGAACATATTAACTTATCATAAGTAAGGAATGTCTTGGGTTTTCCCAATGAGGAGAACCTATTGCAGAAGAAATACAATTTTCATTGATTTGCAGCACATCAAATGCCCTGATATATGTGTACAATTATTGCATTAAAACTTTCATGATCACACAAAGTATCAGGGGGCTCATTCATAAAAAAAAACATTATGAGGTATTTTTTTCACCACACAAAGATCTACATTTAAAAAACAAAAAAATACATATATTTAATGTATTTTCAGAATGAATTTCAGAGCATTTTTATTTACTGCATATATATGCTACTTTTTAGACACATAAGATGTGAAAAGGAAACCCTAGGAAGCAAATATTCTATCATATGTCATGCATCGCATTGTTCATTGTCACCACTATCATATTCCCCGTGGGCGGGGGAGGTAGTCATGTTGCCATGACACCTTGGGGCACAAAAAACTTGCAGTTGTAAAAGAGATATTACAGTCATTGAGGTATGATTCTTATCTTCACAACATGATGGTACAAGTAATAAAATCAATTTGATGTACTTCATATAAATGTAAATAAACCATGTACTGTCTTCCCTTTGTCCATGTAACTTCCACTTCCATCCAGAGGCAAAATAGAAGATATAATATTAATAAAAAAAATATATAATCATCACAAGAAAAGAATGAAGTTGCAAATGGATTGTGGTAGAGAGAGTTTCTCCATGCACTGTTGAAACTGAGGAACACCATGGACCTCAGCTAGCAGAAGCCTCACAGCCATTCGACTTGAATGCTTCAGACTCCATGGCATATTTCGCATTCCTTCAAAACTGGTAGGATGAAGGGAAGGATTCCTAAACATATTACTAGGAAAGTGAAAGATATATGAGAGAATGACATTCTTGCATTCTGTTGTGATCACAGATGCATGTACAGGTAAAGTCACTATTTCCTTGAATGGGATGGGGTGATCAGTGGAATGGGAATTTATGATTTCGGCAATTCCTATTTCAAACAGCGATTTTAAAGCCCATGGGATCATGGGGAAATAAATTATTGGACCAACACCCTCCCGAGAGAAGATTTCCTTCATCAGTTCTATCACAAGGGGCTTTGTTTCATCTTTGCAAGAATATCTTTCCATTTCATACAATTTCTGACATAAGAGGGATACAGTTCCCTCCACACCCTCCCAGTGTCCATACAGGAATGCATCCAAGGCCACAAACTTTTCAATGCAGAGCTTGGTCTGTTCCACCCCACAATAATCCACAAATACCATGAGTTCAGAACAGAAATGTCCCAGAGGAGAGATAAGATTATCAGATGATCCTGGAAATGGATGCCCAAATTCCCCTATGTCTGACACCTGAAACTGACGTTGATCATACACAATGTTTTTGAGGTGAACTGGAAAGGCATCAAGGAAAATCTCCAGGAGGTCACTTCGATGATTATCTATTATGTCCAGCATAATACAAGTGTACCTGCAGAATATGGGGGCTTCTTCTTCCATCTGAGATGGGTCTTTGCCAGGTTCCAATCGAATGAGTCCTCTTGTCAAGAATTCTTGCTTGGTCCCTTCTAATATCATCTGGAAGATCTTGTTACACTGAGGCCGTGGATTGATGCAATAGAAGAGAGGGAAGATATCATCTGAGTCTGTGAGGTTAACATTGGCATCAATAGAGAGCAGAAACTCCACACACTCTGTGTGTTCATGCTGACATGCCATCATCAAAGGGGTTGCCTCATATTGAGCCCTACAGTCAATATCACATGAATCTCTGATGCCTCTTTCATGAAGAAGCCTCAGTACAGGCAAATTCCCTGTCAATGCAGCACAGAAGAATGGGGTCATCTGTCTGTCATTTTGAGCCCTTATGCTTGCCCCATGATCTATAAGGATTTCTGCACATGTGCAAATTTCTACATGAGAATGGCTGTTTGACACATCTTCCAGGAGAGAATGGAGAGGAGTATCTCTGTGAATGTTCATTCTATCAACATCAATTGATGGGCATTCTAGCAATGTCTTCAGGCATTCCTTGTTACATGCTTGTGCTGCAGCATGAAGAGGGGTGGATTCTTCATTGTTTCCTTGATTTACTGAGGCACCATGTTCTAGAAGAAGGGAAACCATCTTGACTGAATTTTTTTGGGCCTGACAAGCCAAGAAGAGAGGAGTCTCTCCCTCATGAGTCTGCCAATTCACATCAGCCCCCTTCAAAAGCAAAAGATGAACACAGTTGATGTTCCCAGCTGCTGCAGCTTCGTGTAGAGGCTGCCAACCTTGATTGTCTTGTTGATCTACCCTCCCACCTGAATTCATCAATCTCTTGATGGCATTTTCATCTCCAATTCTGGCTGCCCGGTTCATGGGGCACACCACATCTGGATAAGTCTCCTCAAAATCTAGTGCTGACCTTGAACAGAATAGATAACTTATTATGAACTACCTATTAAGAACCTATTATGAACTTGTGTTCAAAATAGAAGTCATTCAAATCTAATAAGCCAATATTAACGACTTTGATTATTCACTTGCACTGATGATGAAAATACTATTCAAATACGTTGAAAAGTAGAATGAATTAGCAATCAATATCATACTCTTCAATCAATATCAACTCTAGGTGTTCCATCTTATATAATTTACAGTTTTAACCCATTGACGCCGGGAACCGTAATATTACATTTTTTAAACCCATAGTGTTCTGGAGTCGCTGGGTATGAATGTGTCAACATGGTAAATACTTTAATATGCAAAAATGTCAGTAAATCTCATCACTGGCACATTTTGGAGGAATATCCAATATTGCTGTTATCGGTTTATCACTTTAGTCAATATATAATAATATATAGATCTGAACATCTTAGTAAAACCTGATATTGATATTGACATTCATTTTTCCTGTCAAAGGCTAAATATTTCAGTTTATGAACAGAAATAGATGCACTTCATGTCACCTGCCATCTCCCTCACTTGCATGGAAAATGGATTCCTGCAAAACATTTTCCTTATTACGTATTCATAAAAAGTGAAACTAAGGCCTCATATTGTGCCTGACATATTTTTTGTGCAAATCTTAAATGAAAATATGCTCCAACTGAAATTGAATATTGAAAATAGAACAGGCTGCCACAATATTATAAGCCCCCACCTCCCTTCTACAGCAAAGCATTTTGGGCATATACAAAATCCAATCACAGGGTTTTAACCTTCATTTAGTTACACATTTTAAAGGTATTACTGATAGTTGATTTACTCTATCATAATTATGTAAAAAAAAAATGGAATGGATTGGAGCTATGCAGTTACTCTGTACAATTAGGGAAGCTAGTTAAATTATCAGTTGGGTGCTCCCTCTTCAAATTACACACTGATAGACTTGCTGATATGGCTAACCAATCTTGAATTAGTTTTTTATTTAGGTCTGAAGGATAGGAAAAAATCCACATTGGTACTTCATTTCAAATATACTGTGTGATTCTAAAACCTTATGGATTTAGGTCTAAGGATATTTATTAATACAATTGTCCCAGAATTGTGTCCCATAGGATATGTCTATTTCCCTCCATGCAATGTATACATATGTAAAGTAATAAGGTTGCTACCTATGTCAATATCATTTTGGTTTTAGGCATCAGTTCCCTTTTTATGATGGCATGGAATGCCAAATGCATCTCAAATCCTGAATTAATCAAAAGGAGCAACTCACCCACATTGAATTAGGTGGGTTCCACCATCAGGAATGAGCTCCCCCCCACCTCTGAAGACACTGCAATGGAAAAGACACTTACATTAAAACAAAGATGAAACAGTCCCATAATCAGGGATGAATGCTGTCCACATAAAGCCCAAAAGGGTATTTTTCCAGAGGAGGATGCCAAGACTCAAGACATATGATGAATTTACAACATCTAATGTGTGAAACAGCATCCATCTGTCTTGAAGAACTTGAAATGTTAACATGTTCATGTAAACTAATGTATGGCATTAACACTTACTTCTCCTAATAGATAATGATAATGATATTTATTTGGACCTCCAAAATACAGTCCTTAAATGGTTGCTCATGGCGAATATGCAGTAAGGAGGTGGGGGAGGGAGATAGAGGAATATAGATCAGAGAGAGGATGTAAAGGAATTGAAAGGGGAGAGAGGGTATGAGAAGTTATTTCTGCCCACGTGACATTCATTCCAAAATAAAACAGTTGTCATTTTCTATTCCGAGGTCGTTCCAATGGCTTCCTCCCTCCTCTTCAGGGTTTCTTGTAGGAATTTGGTCAACTTCCATAAATTTCCACAATTGCAGAGCCTTGAGTGACCTTAGGGGGTCCTTGTACCTCCTCCCTACTTCCCCAATAGGCATAGTAACAGTTTCCAAAGTTAATTTGGTTTTTCCCAGAATAGGAGTGAACCTATTTTGTGAAATGATGAGTTTTGAAAAAATCTTCGTCTGGGGGCTATGCTTATATCTAAACTTAACTGACTAATCACTTCCCAAAAAAGATTCACTTTCTCTTTCTTTTGACTTTGACAAAGGAAGAGTGCAAAAAAAATCAATTTATTACCATTCCTCTGCTGCATGCATCATTGTCATTCGAAAACGCCATTCAAAAACCTTCTCTTCCTCAATTCCACCACCCCCTCATTACCAGGGTCATTTCCAAGGTCAAAGAGAATTCGCTCTTGCATCCATCACAAAGTGAGTGGAACAACTTCACGATCATCCCGATCAGTTGAGTCAGCCAACAGAGCTACTAAAACTAAAGTTTATCAACAATACCCTCCCGTACTGGCAAGATCCCACAGAACCCATACCTAAAATCAAACCTAAGCGCACACCTGATACTGAATTCATCCGAATGTCAGCATGTCAGCAGGAACAATAACATGTAACCTTCCCTCTCCAACTAAAATAAAGTCCAAAAACTGAAGGAAATTATGTAAAAAATCATTTACCTTAGCCGGAGACGTTCACATAGCGCTCGCCAACAGGAGAGCATGCTGGTTTTGGCCACTGGCGGCCGCCATGATACGTGGCTGCATTCGAATCATTGGGAACAATTCCTCTGAGGAAGAGTTTCATACTTTAACTCTCGTTGAAGATCACCAACTACCGAAGATTTCCTAAATTTCCACCAACAAAGAACATAGAATGAATATTAGCAGTATTCTGAAGTCACCTGAGTATTCAAGAATCGAGGCAGAACTCTTTCCTGATTCACTTAAAGTTTTCGCAGTTTGCCAATTGTACCAGATGTCTGCTATGGCAGCGCCCTTCATCGCACGTGTGGAATCACGTGCGTTATTAAAAAAAAATCTTTGTTTCGTCTCTATGAGCGTCCTTCACTTACGCCCAAACGTGAGACTAAGCATAGGACCCTGGGAATATGGTAATTGGGAAGACACGGGGAGGTGGGAGCAGTTCACCAAGACAGAAAAATTCAACAGCTAGCATTTTCCCTTGTAGTTTTAAGGACCCATGCTTGCGTACTTTCATTACCCTCAATGATTTGGGATTTCCTACAGCATACAAATATGTATCCATATTGGATTTCATTCATGCTTCATACATCTGAGTGCGTAGTACTCCACTGGGGACCATGCCCTCTTGTTCTGACTACCTTCATTCTGGTATTTCTCAGCCATGGTTTGGATTTACAGATTCAGTTATTTCGAGGCAGTGTTTGGTTATGGGACACGGAAGTTACAGTTTCTTTATTGCTTGAAGCTGAAGCTGTTTTAACATGGTTATTTGTGTTAGTATTCACGGTTGGGTCTGGGGGGCATTTCTACACAATGATATTCTTATTCCAAGTTGTGTGCTCATTCTAGATAGGCATATCCCTTTTAAATAGAAATAATTTTAGTGCAAAAGACGCTAAATTTATCTGTGACTCTGCCAATCTACTGCCTAAATACCCATAGTGCTCCCTTATTTTTTGTAATGTCTGTGATAAAGTCTTTCTGAAAGCCCACAAAGAGGCAACCACTATATTTTTACTTAAGGTATTCCACACATTCACCATACTCGACAAATAAGAAATCCTTTTCCAACAGGAAAAGTTCAAAAGGTCTAAAAATGTAGTTACTCTGAAATGCATGGCAAGGGGTGTTGCTGTGTCCAACTGGGGTACTCTATATATTTTTTTTACCCCTGATCTATCATACACATCCAGTTTTATGTCAGCATTTTTGTGAGTTCAACCTTCAGGGTTTGGACTATGAGAGAAGCCAATTCTGCACTAATTTAATTTCCTCCATATTTATGAAGCATTATGCTGACTTCACATGAAAAAGATGAGGAATATGCTTAGCAGAATTCATCATGAATCTTTTTGAGTGGCTTTTGATGATTCTCAAGATTCTGACATGTATTGAAGTGTTCTAAGCCAAGGCCTGTCTTCATGTGTTTTGGTGGTGCATTTTTTACTGGCACGATGTCATCAAGTTATCATAGCTAAGATTTGGCTTCAGAAATGTGTCATGCTGCATTATAATAACTTCTGATATGCCAACCTTCCTTGCATATGCTCTGCCTGTTGTTAGTGAGGCATTCTGATCAGAAGATATGGCACTTGCCCCTGTTTAGTCACACCTCTCATAGATTTCCTATCTTTGATGCCACTCCTCATATACAGTTTTATTGTTTCATTATTATGGGTGCAGGATAGAAGACAGGGAATGGACACAAAGAGTAAATGTAGTGTGTAGAGAAGACCAGTGGGCTTATAACAGCCTGGATGGTTGAGATGTGTGCATGATGTACAATACTCTCCAACTGTTGCCCCAAAGCCCACAGCCAATAAACTTGATCTATTGTTAAAGCAATCTGTTCACTGGCTATTCTTTATGATAACTCCAAGCTGTTGAGCACAGCTGTTCTTAAGAAATGATTAACCTGAAATCAACTCTCCCTTTATTGAAAGCTTAGACCTATATGAGACTATGCCTAGACTGTTGGATCTATGTTACGCCTCTTTGCTTTTAGTTTTGACTATGACCCTTTGCAATTTCATGAATTTCTCTTCGTCTATTTGTTTTTCAGGTGAAATTTTTATGCATTTTTGAAAATTTTCGGTCATCAATTGGGGTCATAATACCTGACCTAGATCCCAAAGAATGCTGAAGCTTTTGGTGAGTTCTGAATCATTTTGTGTTCTCATTGCCTGCTTGGGGGAAGTGATTTGGTGCTCTCCTTGCCTGCCATATATCCTATTGTAATTCATCCCCTCCATATGTAGCCCACATGGACTAGGAGCAAGTTCTGTGTTGCCTTAATTTATGATGGTAGGTTTTTCCCATAGTGTTAGCATTACATGAATATGTGAGGTGGGAGCAGTTTCCTCTGAAGGGTAAAAGTCATTTGGCTTATCTCATAGGAGACTAAGCATATGTTATGCATACTGGGTGATCCAAAAGTCACTCTACACTTTGTAGTGCTGAAAATAACATATTTATTTACAAGATTTTTTCAAGGTTCCTATTCTGCTGTAGACAACTTTGTGGTCATGTCTTCCTGCAGTTATCTGAAAGAAATAAACATAAATAAGATATAAGGACATAGAAACAGAAATAGAACAATAGATAGTGTTAGGTGACTTTTGGATCACCAATATTATGGGCAAACCTGGCACAAGTAGTTGAACAGCCAGGATTAGGTATAAACACCTTTCAGCACCCCTTACAGTTGAGTCCTTACCATATCCCCCCCTTTAGAATTTGCGTTCTTGCCCTTCCACCAGCGGTACTGGAGATTAATCTCCTGGTTGCCACACGAAACTGACTGGAAAATAGTTTTTGCCACGCACTATTTTGTTTCCCATGTTTCAAGTACCATACTTTGGGTATACTTTGATCATAATAATGTTGTTGGGGGCCAATCAAAGAAAGTCCAGGATATCGTGAAGCGATAGTCCTCGATGGAATTTCATTTATCCTCGACATGTCTCCTTTCGACGTTATACTCCCGACGTCACTGGCTTCTTGAAGTCTCGCGACGGGGGGGGGGGGGCTTCACCTCGTGCCGCGCAGACTCTTTGCCTAATTGACTTCGTTCTGGTCAGGTCGTCAGATCCTGGGAGGTACAGGCGGCGATTGTTCGTCGGACAAAGGATGGGGATGAAAGAGGGTGAGGGATGCAATTGCCTGTCCCGGATCAGGTGTTCCTCCTTTTTTTTCCCCCCCTCCCCACCTTTCTTTACCTCCTCGTACCTCTTCGCCGAGAAGCGTTTGGCACAGATTTGGCACATCTCTTGGATGTATTTTTGCCCGGGCCGTCCAGTCTGCGGCTTCCCCTCCACGGTGTCTCCCGGGATGCCCCGTCGCTCGTGATCTCCCCCGCGATGACGGTGATGGGCTTCCTCTACGACGCATTCCTCTTCCTCTTCATTCTGGCGCATTTATTAGTAGGTGGAGCTGTAAGCGTCTCCCCCCCGTTTTTATTCTCTTTATCGGGGCTTGGTCGGGTTCCCACTTTTATCTGTGCGAGGTTCTGACGTTCGTTTTTTGGAGTGGGTGTCTCGAATTTAAAGTTGTGGTTTTTCGACTCGGACTTGGACGTCGGCAATGACCTATTTAAAGGTCATCCAAGGAATTTTTTCTCGAGTCGGGAGAAACTCAGTCCTCAAATGTGTGGGGAAACTGGGGAAATATTATTACGAATTCATGCAGCTTTCTCCACACCCTGCTTCCTGGGAATGCGATGGAAAGAATAGATAAGTGGGAGCGAGGTTAGGTCGTCAACCTTTGAGGAGAAAACATTGCAATGTGAATTGTGAATCCTGTAGTTCGTCTCCCTGCTAATATATGCCTTTTTCCCCCTTTATTTCTTTTCTCTTGCATTATGATATGCATCGAAGTGCATGATTACCTGTGCAATTTCGAGCAGGCTTTCGACGCGCTCTTCTTTGAGATATTTTCTACCCGATTGCAGGTGCTGATTTGGCTTTTGCCAAGTTTGTCACCGTCGTGGAAGATGAATTAGGTTTCGTTTCTTTTCTTTTTTTGCCACCATTGTATATCAGAGATCTGTTTATTCTGTCGGAGCGAGTGACCGATGAAACGGAAAACATTGGGGGAAAATAGAATAAACATTAAGTGCTTGTAATTTGGGACTGGTCGGAAGCAAACTTTCCCTTCAAATTTTGCGTTTCGCAAAATTGTAGGGGAAAGTTTGTTATGCAAACCTTTATATCTGTCGCCTCGTTTCACTAGTGGTTTAATTTTGTTGGAGTTTTGTTTTGAGGCCGTGGGATTCAGACGCAGGGATAATGAAACGAAAACACCATGTGATTGGGGTTATTGGGGATTGCTTCATTTCGAGGTAGGAGTGGAAAGTTTCAAAATTACCAGAAAATCTCGATTTTTTTTTACGTAAGATCACTTCTTGACAAGTAATATTTGTAAATCATGAAAACTGTATTTGATTTTACATTAAGCACCCTGGAATTTCCTCTTCCCTAGGATACGTAGCATGTATACAGCATTTTATCTGACATTTTTTAATAACGCAAATAGAGCGAGAAGAGAAAGATTTTGGCCCGATCGAAGCAGCTGGCGTCAACCTTTCCAATAATGCCCGAGTCGGCGGATTTCGACTCCAGAAATCGTCTGAGATGAAATTCCGAAACGGCTGATAATTTTCTTCCAGTGGCGTCACCGAGATGAACGGCCACACCGCTGCCAAAAATGCCAAAAGCCGGAATTTTATTTTGGAGTCTCGAGCCGCCGGCTTCCTGCTGTGTTTCGTCTCTGGCCGCATTACCGATTCGAGCCGTCATTTTTCTTGGGAGACATCGACCCTGCTTATCGGTAGCGTTATGCGAGGAGGTAGAAGCGCGGAAGGGTGAAGGATCCTCGAGAGTCCCGGGTCGTTCGCACTGGGACGCATTTGTGAAAAAAGGAAAAAGGAAGACGAAAGGCACGGATTGGTTCCAGTGCTCGATTCCTCGATGGGAAAAGAGCTTGCGAATGAGTTTTTCGCTCGTGAAGGGCCGCGTGACGGGAGCCGACAGGACCGTGCGAGGCCTGCCATCGCGTGGGACGGCTGTCGTCTTGATGTCGTGGGGGAATGGCACTGGGGATGCCGGGGATGTGCTTCCACTTGGACGTGGATGGTGGTTGAGTCACGATCCGAAAATATGCGTTTTAGAGCGAGATCACGTCGGTCATCTGGTGCAGAGCAGCGTTGCGAAGCTGCACTCGAGTGCGAATGCAAATTTAGTGCATGGATGAGGACGAAAATGCAGACTAACCTGGCTTCTGGCATCTCGATTGAGGTGTTATTAGCCGAGAGGGAATGACGCATCGGCGTATCAGAAGTCGTAATTATTGCCTTCCCAATATGCAAATGGAGTAGTGCGGTTCCACGAAGTGATAGACCGAGAAGGAAAATTTGCATCTTCTTGTTACTGATGATTTGCACACGGAGATGGGCTTGCCGCGTGTCGTAATGCGTGAAATCGGGTCGTGCGATATTGGGACATCTAATCGTTAAGATGGGGGTCTCAAATTGCCGTCCTTTGAGCCACCTGGTGCTGCATAGATAGAGATGGATTGATGGAAATTACCCTGTTCCCGCTCGCCGCTCCTCAATCTTGGTTTTAAAAAAAATAAAAGGAGCAGAGAATGAGCGGTTGTGATGGGCGGAGAGTCCCCGTACCTTGAAAGGGGTTCCAACAATGCCGGGTTCGTGTCGATTCTCGACCCCGCACATCGGGAAAGGTTGGCTTGGTGTCAGCCGACTCTGCACGAGACCGAAATACGAGTCAGAGAGGAGTGAGGTCGACGTGGAAGATCCTGACACAAGAACTTGGCTAATCTCGCCCAAAGTAGGTCTATGACCCCCCCCTCGCCTCTTTCGAGCATCGCTCATTGCGGAACGTTGAAAAGGAACTGCAAGCCTTTTTCCGTCCTCGCGAATTAAGGCTGAAACCCGTCGATGATACTCAGAAAGATCGTGGCTGGCATTCATTCTTGACGCATATTTTGTGTATTCATAATTTTGCAGTTTGATACACTTTTTTTTTCCCTTTCTCGAGTGTTATTTTGAAGGATTTGACTTTTGTTCCAGTTGACCTTCGGGGCCGGAGTGTACACCGGCCTCTACGTATCTCAAAACTACGACGTGAGTCCCAGTCCCGACTCGCGTCGTCCCCCCCCCCCCCCCCCCCCCCCCCCACACACACCTTTCATCCGTCTAGTCAGTGACGTTGCAGGCCCTTTTTCTGTGCGAACCTGTGGGTTGATTTCATGCTGTGTGTCTGAATCGATTTGCAGGGGAAGTTCTCGGTTTTCTCTGGAATATGTTGTCCGAGGGGACGACAGCCGTGCTCGTTTCCTCTATGACATCGTATGAATACCTGTGAAGTTGGGTTTCAGAGACTCTTAATTGGGCTGCAGGTATGGCAGGTATTCATCAGGACTCGACTTTTTTTTCTGGAAATGATGTGATTTTATTTCGAGTTTTCGTCTCAATAGTGCCATGTGATACATTTGAGTGTTTCCATGAGTCCGTGCTGTTTGATGAGNATACATTTGAGTGTTTCCATGAGTCCGTGCTGTTTGATGAGACTCCATTTTGAATGCAATAAAGATTGAGAATGTCATGAATTGGACTTTTGAAGCGTCGGTTAGTCGGAAAATGATGCGGAGATGACAGCCGACAATGCAGTCTTCATGGATTATTGAAGGCAATCTCTTTGGAAAGTTTTGCATTGGCTGTTCGTGCGATTACCCGTTTTCTCGCGATAATTCTTCACTCGGGTCTGTGCTGCTGATGCGACGACTACCCTGTTTGTTTTTTTTTTTCAAGTTTAAACTGGCAGTTGATGTCCAGAAATCACACGGAATATTCGTGGGAGACAGAAGATGGTTTTCGCTGGACTTTGCATTGGGAAAGACCCATTTTGGTGTTGTCGTCCGCCCTCCTCGCAACCTGTTTCATCCTTCTTTCGATCGCCGCCGTCAACGAAGTCTGTCCTGAACGATGCCCAGACGAGCGAAACCGAGAACAAGGGCTTTCAAGAACAATCGGGCAGGATACGGCAGCAGTGCTGCCGTCTTTGAAACGGGAGGTGGAAGAGAAATTGCTTCCGAAGTCGACGGTCGGCGCATCTGGATCGAACATCTCTGATGAGCTTGGGAAACACCGATCAAACGATACATCAATTACGATTACGCGAGATACTGGACGGGAAACGACGCGGCAAGGAAGAAGTGACGCATCTAGGCTTCTTGGTTCAGGCGAGGAAAAATAAGGAACGAAGGATGCAGGAAGGGCGTTCCCCCTGATGGGTCATTACGAAATATTTCTGCTAAATAATAATTAAAATCCCTGGAAATAATCGTTTCTCGTTCTCAGTGACTGATAGCGTTACTGAAAATTCTCAGCTATACCTAAAAGACGCTCATACTTTTGACTTAGATTTGGGAATCTGGCATCACTGAAGCCAAAATGTCTCCTCGCTTCTTCCGAGTCACGTGGGCGACGTGCCCTCTGCTACGTACTTAGCACAGCATAGGTATACTAGCCTATAAACATTGTTCATGTCAGAATTGAGAAGTCTTGCGAGGATTTCGAAACTGTTCCTTTTTCATTGGGCTAGAAACTCAATTTGCCTGATATTGTGTCTCGTCTGGATTGAAATAAGTCTGAGACGGGAATTGTGTTCGGTTCAAGTGCATACAGTCGTTTTCAAATTTTCGCAAAAAGGGAGAGTTTTAAAGGTTAATAGAGAATCGCTGATACCGCCTAGGCGCCTCCAGTCATACCAGCTCTAACCATTTTATTTTGGCTTATGGGCCAAGGTAGCAGAAAGGGGTTTGCCAAAGCTGGGGGATGCAGGGGTCCCAAGTGAAGGTATTCATGGCCAAAAGATGCCTTTGATAGGACGCTAGGCACTCTCAAGGGCTGCGAGGAGCACCAGCCACCTCTCCTGCTCCCTAGTGAATATGCTACTTGTTCTAACCCATGCATAACTACATTCCAAGGATGTACCAGAGATATATCATGGGGGCAAGTGAGAAGTTCCTGATATTACTAGTGGGGACATCTTAGGGATAACCAAATGTCTGGGCGCAAAGACATCCCAAGGATATCCCCTTCTCCCTGAAGCAAATTCTTTTTTTTCCACACTAAACATCCCCCTTGAGGTATCAAAAAGTTTCATTAGGAATTATCTCTCATAGTTTGTGGTTGGATTAGACAAGTTGAGTGAGAATAGAAGTGTCTGTTTAAAGATTTGTTTTCAAAGTTTTTCTTCATTTACATTGCTATTTGTCGCTTTGAATAACAGTTTTAATATTGGGTCTCCATGCCCTCAATTTGATCCTCTCATATTCCCTTAAGGGAACACAACCTACAGTTTAAAAACTGTTGATTTAGGCATATTTCAGTCAA